TATATATATATATATATACCCAGGTAAATGTTAGAGAACCCCCCGGGGCAGTGCCACTGACTGTAGTGTCTTTAGGCCATTCCCAAAGGGGGGACATTTCTCGTTCAAGCATAGTAGAATTGTAAATTTGCTGACTCATGTCACGCTCATAACTGTGCCTGATCTACAACAGGGAACTGCTGCTTTTTTTTTACTATTGTCATTTTCCTCTACTTCTTTTGTATGTTTATCACTCTCTTGTGAACTGCTATTTCCGGGGTGCCTTGATAGTTGAAGCAGGCCTTGTGCTGTTGAAGCAAGAGAGGTGAGCGGTCTAAGTCTGAATCCCTGTAAAGACTTCTCTGTTGACACCCTCCCCTTGGCACTCATATGACCTTATGCAGTTGCGTGCGCTGTAAAACCCTCTACTATAAAAAAAAAAAATTTAATGTTGGAGCAGGTTTAATTGTATGTATATATATCGATATCTCATGATAATTATCTTGGTCTGTTTTCAGCAATTTGTACACAAGTGAGAACCTTCCCAACCCGGGTGAGGATGACCTGAGGGTCGGAGGACCTGAGCTCAACTCTGTGCTGTGGAATGCCATGATCCACCCTCTCCTGGGGATGACCTTGCGCGGAGCCATCTGGTACCAAGGTCAGTGTCTGTGGCATCTTGTTAAGCATCTTTACATATTATATTTATGGAAGTTCGTCACTTTGGCCACCTAAAACTTCCGAACCACTTAACTTTCGAATTTGAAAAAAATAACAGTGGTTCAGAATCATTTAAAGGGTGCACAGTTATATTAAGGAGCCTGAAGTCACTGTAGTTTAATTTTCAGTTTTTCATTAGTTTCGTTTAGATCTAATCTTGGGAAAGTCCGTCTTCTAAGATGCCATTGTAAACAAGTGAGGTTTCCGTTCACCAGCCGTGTGCACTGTTCCACACCTTTGAAATTCTGGAGTGTACAACCGCGAAAGTGGAATAGAAAATCAATCTACATCTCTATATCTAGACCTTCTAATTTTTTTCATCTCTCAAAATTTGTTGCTCCATTCCAGGCGAGTGTAAATATAGCAGGCCAATGATTTTCAGTTGATGTTAATGCCCCGATTATTCCTTTCATCGAAAGGGGTCCAGCTAATTCAAAATATTACTTTAAAAAAAGATAAACTGAAGAAATTATGGTGCACAGTTGCCTTGAAGGAAACAACAAATAAACCGTTGACTGAATGTATGATTGTGCAATAGTCAGTTTGATGTGTCAACTACTCCACTATAAAAAAAGGTCACTAAAATGTGAACTTGGTCTTGAGGGTTAACATTTCAGTCAGCATGAGAAAGGGAACATTTTGAAAGATTCAAACTGGCATAACAGTAGCCACTAACTTTAACAATGAAAGGAAGTACAGTTTAGTCATACTTCCTGGCAGTGTTAGTAGTTACTGTTAAGCCACACTGTATGTGTATCCTGGGAGACTGAGATGATTGACTTGAGCAAACAGGTAGTTCAAGGGAGGTTTTGTCAAATTGTGGGGAGCTTTAACTCTTTCATAACCATTAATCGGGGAGGGGGGGATTCCTCACCTGAGCCGAGCCTTATCTCTGACCTACTGTCTGATTCTGCCTACCGTCTGACAAATTAAAGATTTTTTAAAGTTCAACTTTCAATATAGCCAAATGTATTATATATAATGAAAATAAAGGGGAAATAATGATCCCTCTCAACATGTTGCTAAAAACGATCATTCTTCAGCCTGAGATTTCAGATTCGGTTATTATAAATATAAAAGTAGGTGTGGTTTTGTAGCAGGAGGTAGCGAACCCTGAAGCTCGGCTAGTGGTCTAGCGTTGGCGTTTGGGGTAACATGAGCCGTAAAACAGGGCTCGTGGGAGTGAAAGAGTTAATTGGAAGGAATACAAGATTCTGAACTGGCACTCTAGCGTGTTTCCCCTAAGATGATTCCTGTCCACAGGTGAGAATGATGCCACAACCTCCACCAAGATGAACCGCTACAACTGCACCTTCCCTGGCATGATCGCCGACTGGCGGGAAAAGTTCAGTCAGGTGTCCCAACAAACCAACCCTCAGTTCCCCTTTGGATTTGTGCAGGTAATTATAGGTGGTTTGCACACACACACACACACACACACACACACACACACACACACACACACACACATACACCCCCGCTCCCTCCAAATCAACACAGTTAAGATCATACCGGAAGAGAACTGCTTCAACTCTACCTATTCGGGTCAACTTGTGTGAGAGGGATACCATGTTTCATCAGACAGACAGTTATACTCTATTTTTTTTTTTTAACCATTCCCACACGGGAATCGAACTCATATCCTCTGTGTGGAGCAACAAAGCTCGAAGTGGGTATATTACCCTTCCGACATTGGTAGCGAAAATTAGTAGTAAATAATGAAGTTTGATCCTATTTTCCCTCTTCTCAATTTCTTTTTCGTTGCTGAAGTTCTTTATTTTTGTCTTCAACTAATGACTGTTTTTGTTTTTTGTTTTGTTTTGTTTTTCTCAGCTGGCGGGTTATCGGCCAGCACCATTGATCACCGTGGGCTTCCCAGACATCCGCTGGCACCAGACAGCTGACGTCGGCTACGTGCCCAATCCCAAGATGCCCAACGTGTTCATGGCGGTAGCGATGGATCTTCCAGATTTTAACTCTACCTATGGCGCGTAAGTTTCTAACATGCATGTTTAACTCATTGAGACCAGGTGCTCCGGTTCCCGATTTGCACACTGGATTACAACTTTTTTCAGCTGTTTCCCAATTTGCATTAATTATTACTTGGAATTACTTGGATCCAGAGCTAGAATCATAGCAGGCGGCACTTGTCCAAAGCTGTTCATCTCTCTTTCCAGCATCCACCCCAGGGTCTTCCTGCTAATTGTCTCCATAAGTAGCTGGTTTCAGGCATTGCATTAATATAGAAACTAACAATTTTGTTACTAGTACAGACACTCCATCCGTAACATCTGAATAAATATAGACCACAATATATAACAGTCTTACTTCAAGCCACTTTCATATGACCAGTCTGAGTTCTTGTTTCTGGGACATCCACACATTGCATGTGGCCCATCCGGGATCTTTTACCTCAGACACCCACACATTGCATGTGGCCCATCCGGGATCTTTTACCTCAGACACCCACATATTGCATGTTGCCCATCCGGGATGTTTTACCTCAGACACCCACACATTGCATGTGGCCCATCCGGGATGTTTTACCTCAGACACCCACATATTGCATGTGGCCCATCCGGGATCTTTTATCTCAGACACCCACACCTTGCATGTGGCCCATCCGGGATCTTTTACCTCAGACACCCACACATTGCATGTGGCCCATCCGGGATCTTTTACCTCAGACATCCACATATTGCATGTGGCCCATCAGGCGGATCTTTTAACTCAGACACACACATATTGCATGTGACCCATCCGGGATCTTTTACCTCAGATACCCACACATTGCATGTGGCCCATCCGGGATCTTTTTCCTCAGACACCCACTCATCGCATGTGGCCCATCAGGCAGATCTTTCTTCACCTCAGACACCCACATATTGCATGTGGCCCATCCGGGATCTTTTACCTCAGACACCCACTCATCGCATGTGGCCCATCAGGCCGATCTTTCTTCACCTCAGACATCCACACATTGCATGTGGCCCATCAGGCGGATCTTTCTTTACCTCAGACATCCACACATTGCATGTGGCCCATCCAGGATCTTTTACCTCAGACACCCACATATTGCATGTGACCAATCTGAGAGATCTTGTCTCACACCCACACACCGCATTTTTCCTGTGGCTATTTCAGAAGTTTTGTTCCATGAACCGAAACACATTGAGGGTACCTTTTTAGTTTCCCCAACACGGGTCTAATAGAAAGATAAACTTTTGGCTAAATAGAAGGTTGGTAGAGAACAATTTAGGGACGTATGTCACTTTTACTGAAAGAGTGCTTTTTTTCTGATTTGCTGAGGTATACAGTAAATAGTTATGGAGTAACTGATTAGAATTTCTTTTGCCAAAATATCGATATATGTAATTAGGTCACAATGCATATTTTCAAATGCCCAAAACTTTCTTGATTTTATTTGTACAGCCAAGATAGAAAGACGCGCCATAAAAAACGGTTTCTCCCCTTTAAAAAAACGTTACTTGACCTTATTACACGTATATACATTTTTTTTTCATAAGATGGCAGAAATGGCCGTTTAGCCATCTTAATCAAATGACTATTTGGCAATGTTCTTCCTCATTAGCATCAGCAGTCTTGATCAAATGGCTATTTGGCAATGTTCTTTCTCGTTAGCATCAGCCGTCTTGATCAAATGGCCATTTGGCAATATTCTTTCTCATTAGCATCCACCCGAGAGACAAAACAGACGTGGGCTTGCGCCTGGCCCTGGGTGGACTGGCCCTGGCTTATGAACAGAGCACTTTCTACCAGGGGCCGTTCCCTGTCAAGGGCGCACCATCATCAGCTGGCTACGAGCTGGACTACGGCTCTACCTGGATACTGGATGTGCGCGACAAGGATGGATTTGAGGTGAGGGGCTGTGAACTGCTATCTCATCTGGTTGTCAATATCATTGATGCCTTTCACCTCTGACAGGGTATAGGTCGTGGGTGGTTGGCGGGTGCTCTGGTGTGGTTTGTTCCTTCTATCCTATCAAACATCTATCGTCCTGATCTCTCCTCCTTCTTTTGTGTGTTTGTTACTCTCTTGTAACACCTCTAATCTTTGGCACTTATTTGACCTTATTGTGTTGCAAGTGCCAAACTCTTACTAAAACTAAGGGGTGGGAGGTTGGCGGGTGCTCTAGTGTGGTTTGCTTCTTCTTTCCTATGAGACATCTATCGTCCTTATCTCCCCTTCTTCTTTTTTATGTTTGTTACTCTCTTGTAACACTTCCAATCTTCTGGCACTCATATGACCTTATGCAGTTGCGAGCACCATAAAACTCTTACAAAAACAACATAAAACTAAGGGTATAGGCCACATACAAGCTCCTTCCTTTTATCTCTGTCCTGGGCCATCCTTCCAAGCTCGTCCCAAGTGAGCTTCATCTGTCTCATGTCCCTTTCCACTCATCTCCTCCATGTGTCTCGTGGCCTACCCCTGTCTCGTGCTCCCTGTAGGTCCCACTGCAGCGACTGTCTTGTGATGTTTCCGCTGGGTTTTCTGAAGGTGTCCCATCCATCATCACTTTCTTAGTGCTATTTCTACTTCTATATCCTTTTATCCTGTCCTTTCCCACAGCTCTTCATATCTTATTCTATTAAGAAAATTTCTTTCTCTCTGAAACGACAGTTCTTCTGTGAGCCATCGACAAAGGACGGCAGTGCGGGTCACTGGGTACCCACCGTCATCACAGCGTCCAACGCGACCAGCGTGGTCTTGTACCCGGCGGTCTGTGGCAGCGGTGAGGTGGCCGTGGGTCTGCGCTACGCCTGGCGAGAGACGCCCTGCAACTTCAAGCAGTGCCCCATCTACTCCTCCCTCAACGAACTTCCCGCTGCCCCGTTTGTCTTCTTGGCCGAGTCGGGAAAGAAGGATGTGAGGTTTACCGGACCTTTTGGGGAAGGTCGTCTGCAGTTCTAACCGCAGTTCTCAATCTGTTTTGCATTTTGCACCTGGGTTTTGTTTTTGGTTTTTTGTTTTTTTTTCTTCAACCTGGTGTTCCAGGATATTTTGTTGATGTTACAGTAGTTATAAACAAATGTGAAGAATGCTGGCATAATGAGTTACTTCTCGGATTCAAGCCTTATATTAGGAAAATAGATACATCACACTTATAGCTGAAGTTTTTACAATTTATAAGTATGAAATAATACAAGGCATGTTACACTTAAAGAATATGGCATCAACAATTAAAAATCTACAAATTTGACCCTGGTATCGATTTTTGGCCAATATCTCCTTTCATGGATTGCGAAAAGTGACTCATTTTGTCAGTACTCCTCACAAATGGTACATACTTCTGTGGGTTGTTTTAATACTCTTTTAAAGATGTTTGTAGCTAAAAAATTTTAATAATGTCACAAGGACGGATTGTGCAGCGTACTGTAGTCCTGCAGAAAAAAGCTTTGTATGATTTCACAATAACCCTGCTTGTTTAGTTTGTTCTTTCCTTATAATACGGAAGTGCTCAGAGCTTACTACTACTACAGAGATGCTGATTTTCCTGATATATGTATATATTTGTATTAAGGGAAATACTGGAAATTGAATGTTTTTTACATAAAGAATGTGTAATTATTTTCTTGTCTGGTGTAAATATATTCCTGCTTATACATATATATTTACATTTTAATCTTTTTGCACATGCATATATTACATTTTATTTTTATGAAAGAAGCCTTGACAAAAGATGTAGCTGACGATATTATGATCTGTAAATTTTTAGTCCCCTACCGCACTTCTCCATTGGGTCAGAAGAGTTCTAGATTTTTTTTCGTAGCCAGCTGGAACAACTGCATCTATCTATTTTATATTGCATTTCTTCAAAACAGTAATTCAAGCAAGATACTTCCGAAAAAACTGTTAATTGAAATCTTTGTCTTTGGAATATCCAGTAAATTGTATTCATGCCATCTTTTCAATTTTCTGTTGTAACCTACTCATTTTTTTTTAAAAACTTTTGCTTACTAATTTTTGCCACTTTAAGCGGCTATTTGCGAGAGTGAAAATACAACAATTTTAAAAAGCTACGCGACTTCAAAACAAAGCCAAGTTCCCCCAAAGCAAACTCCTCTCCCCAAAAAGTTAAATGTTGGTTTGACACGCCTGCAAATTGGGCACAGGAGACCGACTCATAGGTATCTCCTGGACGGTTCTCTAAGACAATCTTGTGTCGGCTGTAATGTCGACATAACGGCTCAACACATCCTCCAGAAGTGACCTGGGTTGTTTGACATTCAAAGAAATTATTTCAGGTACGGACGCTAGGACTTTCTTTTACATCATCAATCCATGCCATGTGCTTGACTTTATATGAGAATTTTTTTTTTTTTTTATAGAGTTTAGTTTTAAACTGTTGCAAAAACTAGATCCATGTATGCATGCTTGACTGCAAAGTGTTAAATATGTCTTTAGCTAAATATGTAATTTTTTAAGATAACAAAATGAGAATAGTTTTCATATACTTTACACACAAGAATTTTATAAGTATACAGCTGTCCTTTTAAACTTGACATGTCCTGGGTGCAACCAAAACCTTACAAGTGCATGATCATTGCTGTGTTTGTAGCACTGTGAAAGGCTTACCTCACCATATGATACCACACCACACCACACCACACCACACCACACCACACCACACCACACCACACCATATGATACCATACCACACCACACCACACCACACCACACCACACCACACCACACCATATGACACCTTACCACGCCAAGAGCACTGTCGTCGGTAAACAGATGTTTCATCATCGGGCGAACTGTTTGCATTTTCCAAGACATGGAAATGGAAAACTCTTGGAATTTTGGGAAGTTGGCAAAATTCTTGGAAAAGTCTTGGAAAAACAAATTTTTAACTAGATCTAATGTAAAAATATTTCCTCGAAGTTTAGAAGTAGAAGGCCTCGACTTTATGCAGTCTGAAGTGTACCATAATGTATTTTTGCATGCTGAACGAAAAATTTTCTTACGAATTGACATGTTATTTGTCTTGGAAAAAAGAAATCTAGTCCTGAAAACTCTTGGAAAAGTCTTTGGGGGGAAAAAAGTCTCCTGCTCAGTATGAACCCTGCTTAAATGGTCACATCCTTTAGAGTGCTGACGTACCCTTCTGTTTTTTTGTTTTTTTTAATGTTAAGCATATCATAATATACCTTTTGTCTATCACTAACGATGTCTTATTGTTCAAGGTTTATGTTTTGTCTTTATGTTGTGGATGTATTTAGTGAGAGAGCCCAAAAGAATTCCAAGCTCAGACAAATCATTTAAACTTTTCTGTTTTGCGAGCGCAGTAAAACCTCTAACTAAAACCAAAACTGTTTTGAGCAATTTTTTCAGGATAGATCTAGCGGTTGTTTGGAGTTGTTGTTTTTTTAATTCTGTCTTTGGTGTTCTAGGGAGGAGGGGTGTTGTGTGTGTGGGGGTTTTTTTTAGCCCAATCCTTAAAAGTGAAACAAAACTGAGTGGCAGTGCTTAAGAGTTACAGCCCAAATTTCAGGTATGGGCTGTGTTTGTGGCTTTGATTCGAGAGAGGAATTAAATTCTGTTGGATTATTTTGGGGGGTTTTTATAACCTTGTGTGGGTGATATTACGCTATGTGTAATATATTTAGGTCAACAGATTTTTATCGTTTGATAACATGCTGCTTCTTTTCTTCCCAGGTAGAACCATTTCATATTTTAACCCTGTCTTATGTGTATGGTGCTGTGTGTTTGTTGGTATTAGATTATTAAAACAACAGTTTTTGCTGTTGTTTTACAATCTACTTCTTTTATTTTGTGCCCAAAAAATTGATTATTATGTAATATACGTACATCAGCGTAACTTTGTGGATTTTATGATAATCTTTCCTTTGGTTTCATATTTTTCCAGATTGTGTACTTAAGCCGATTCTCTTCTATATATGCAGAGTGTGTGTGAAGAAGATTAATTCTTTTTTTTTTTTCTCTCTCTCTATTAAAAGAATGTCCAGGGATTAATTAATTCTAGAATCTCTTTATACCAGTACCAATCAGTGACAGTCTGCAAAAACACCATTTACTATTGCAAATATATTTACAAAATCACATACTATACTGGTATTAACTGTACGAATGTTTTCAAACTCACAAAGAATAAGATATATTTTATGGTTTTTTCTGTAAGTGGTGAGTAGGCTACAGCTGGTTTATATATTGCGGAAATATTTATGCAGCAAAAACAATCCTAGTGTATGTTTGCCGTGAGGCGATAGCTTTCTTTTTCCATCTCAGCTTCCCCAGTGACAAATGTGAGGCTTCGTGGTGAAATCAGGCGCTCGTCAAATTAATAAAATCCGAGAAATCTGCATTTTTCGACCAGTTTGGAAAATTTCTTTCCAATTTTTGTTTTTTGGTTCAGCACCTTACTCGTCCATTTATAAACCCTTTTTTGTGTGGATTTTAGGGGGGAAAACGTTGATTAAAGGCAAAAAAATGTAAATTTTGCAGTTTCCAAGGACTCTTAAGCTATGGAAGTGGCCAAACTTTGGCAGCCATTTTCTCACTAATTTTACATATGAAACCAGGCGACCCCACCTACTTCAATGGCAAATACCTCGACTTCTATTCAAGATAAATGGGTATTTTTTTCGTAGAAATCAAGGCAAATGAACAACCTTTACGATGATACCAATAACTCCACATGCCCAAAAACTGACAAGCGCCTGATTCCACTGCGTCGTGACACAAATGTCATGTTATTTTTCTCTCCATCATCTCAACGTGTCTCTACCGTTACTCTTCAGCATATATTTACACTTTGTCTTGAGATTTTATCTAGATTTTATCACACAAGAAACAGCTGTTTATTGTGTTTTTTTATGGTTTATATTTGTGAAGCTGAGTTAATTTTATGTCAATTTTCGTGGAATGATATAAGTCGATCACATTCTTAGTCTGAGGGCATTTTTTTATTCATCTCATTACAATGTACCCATGAATTATTTGCCATGATTCAGAAGACCTAGGTTTGAATCCGAAGAGTGAGTAATCCAACTTTCAGTCTTTTTTTTTTTTTTTCTACCTGAAGGTACTGATTAGTACAGAAACCTTGACCATCAACGATTTATTTATAGAGGCACCAGCCATTCATGTCCAGGTGCTGTTTGAGTACTGAAAATAGAGGCATTCTTCTGTCTTTTGAGATTTTTGTCTTTTCTTGTTGGGAAGAATGTTTTGTTTCTGTGGACACCTGCAAGGGTACAAAAGATTTTCAAAAGTTCTGTCTCTCGTTTGCTGGTTCTCACATACGAATGTGTGCAGTGGCTCATCTCTGCTGGGGTTCGACATTTTGTTTGGGTCACTCTCTGGCTTAAGAAAGTCATGTACAGACATTTTCTTCTTGTAGACAAAGAGTGGTGACTTTTAAAAATATTTTACCACCTCAATTTTTATTTTTTCATGCTGGGTATTTCAGGGTCTTTTTATCTTACACTGTAAGGACTTCTCTGTTGACACCCACCCCTTGGCGCTCGCTCATATGACCTTATGCAGTTGCGAGCGCCGTAAAACCCTCTACTAAAAATTTTTAAAAACCGTTTATCTTACTATTGGGTTGTTATGGGTTCCTCTTGGTTCTGGGGGTTTTTTTCTGCTTTACATGTGCAATGACCACCCTTGCCTTGAGCCCTCCCTTTTCCTTTTTTTGTTTTGTTTTGTGTTGGGTTTTTTCTTTATGGTTCAATATGAGCTTGTAGCGCAAAGACAAGGTGAACACTACATCTTTTTTTTTTCTCTTGTGCAGAAAAGTGGGCACAACAATTTATAGCCTTGTTTTCTTATATCTCAGTACATTCCATGTAATGGATGTGTGTATGTGGCATATCTGATATCTCTTTTGCAAATTGTTGAATTTGTAACTCACAAATGAAATGCTCAATTTTTCACTTTTAAAGCTCTGGCTCTTCTTATCTAATGTCGCTTGTTATTTGTCAAGATAATTCACAGACAAGTCTCATTTTTTGGGGGGGTGGGGGGGTGGGGGGGGTCCTGTATGAGCTGA